GTCGTTCACCACACAAAGGTATCTGGCCAAGAAGGCACGCGGGGCCTAAATGGAGCCACAATCTACTCCAAGCCGCGTGTGCTTGGGACCATGCCCACCCAGAGGGCTTTTTTTATCTAGTTAGTCCGCCCAGAGCAGGGACATTTCCTCCAGTTTTCACGAGAGGGACATATCGGCTAGTAGCTGGTGCACATCCAAGACCAGGAGCCTAGTGCCCAGGGTGGTTATTGTTGAGAACTCAGAGACCGGCCTGGCTCAGTAAGCCTGAGGAGAGCCCATTCATTCTTTCAGTAAATGTTTGTGGTGGTGAACCTAACCGAGTCCCTGCTCTCGGGGTTGCATTAACAAAACAAAGTGGTTTTAAATGACAGCAATTTATGATTTCCTACAATGCTGTGGGTCAGCTGGGTGGTTCTCAGCTCCATGCAATGTTGGCTGAGGTCTCTCACACAGCTGCATTTCTATGGAGCTCAGCTGGAGCATCTTGGTCCCCTCTGTGTGGCCTGTCCTGCAGGATAGCTTAGTCTTCCTCACAACACAGCTCTCGCTTGTTTGCTAAGAACACTCACTCTTGGAGCTCTCATCATCATCGCGTAAGAAATCCAACTACCTGAAGTTGCCATGCTGTAAGGAAGCCCAACAACACTGAGTGGCCACATGTAGATGTCCCAGTTAACAGTCTCAGCTGAGGCCAACTTCAACTTGTTTCCCTCCAAGCATCAGATATGTTAGTGAAGAAGCCTGCCGATGATTCCACAGTTGTTCAAGTCAAGGACAGAGGGAGGAATATCCCTATCATTTTTAGGGATCCAGTTGAGCTTCCTAACAACACGTTGCAGAGATAAGCCATATCTGAATCCCTCATTCACAGATTCTGTGAACATAATAATATGACTGTTTCATGCCACTAAGTTTTGGGGTAGTCTGTTATGTGGCCATAGATAATGGGAACAAAATGAATAAACTATTCTCTGTATTTGCAGACATTTTCATGACTTTGGCATGAATGTGGCCAACATGAACTTCACCACCTCACTTGAAATCTCATGTGCAAAGGTCCTGTGGTGGGGGGAAGTCTAGTTATACATGAGAGTGAAATGAGGCCAGTGGCTGGAACACATGGAGCCAGATATGGGTGGAGAAGTTAGCAGGGTCAGACCCTTAAAGATCTTGTGTACCATGACAAGGACTTTGGGTTTTATTCTGGGATCAATAGGAAGCCATCAGAGGGTTTAAATTAGGGAAATGACATGATCTGATTTTCTGTGTGAATATACCTAGCTTCAATGTCGAGAAGGGACTGTAGGGACAAGGTTGAAGCAAAGAGACCAATGAGAAGGCTATTGTAATATTCCCAGCAAGTAATCATGGTGGACCAAGGAGATCATGATGGAACTCATGACAAGTCTCATTTCAAGGGCCCAGCAGAGACTCTCAGTGTCTCTCTGCCAGTTTCACATTCCTGAACGAAACAATCTGATTGCCTCAATTAGACTGATGTTTGAGTCAAGCATCTACCATGGACCAGTTACTGGAGGCCATGGGGAAGGCTCACCTAAAACAAGCATGGCAGCCACGTTTGGTTCCAGAGAAGGTAATGAAAGAATGTAAGGTTTAGGAAGATGCTCCCAAAGTGGGGACACGGGGAAAAAATGTGCTGCTCACATTGCAGTGACTGAAGCAAGCTGTGGGGTCACACCCCATTTCAAAGTGGACGAGCAAGAGTAACCCGCCCGTCCACATGCCCCACATATTTATGCTCAGCCCAAATGTCTACCCTGCATCTCCTACAGGCTCCCACAGGCTCCCTGGGTGGCTCTCTTGGCGCAAAAGATTCTATTGTATTGACTATGGCACATGCGTTCTCCAGCTGAAGGTTTTTAGGTTATTTGCTGATTTTTATTGCTATAAATAATGCCACGGAGCCCTGATCAGGCGACTCAATGGGTTGGAGAGTTGTCCCATGCACCAACAGGTTGCAGGTTTGATTCCCAGTCAGGGCACTAGGTTGCAGTTGGGCTCCTTACAGGAGTCAGCCAATCAATATTTCTCTCTCACATGGGTGTTTCTCTCCCCCCTCCCCCTCCCTAAAATCAATAATAATAATAATGCCAAGGAGAATGTCCTTGTCATTTATCTCTATTGGCTGTAGATGGGAAATCTTTATGCATGCGTACCGATATTACTTTTTTAGGATATATTAATAGGAGTGAAATTGCTGGGTAATAGCGTATACATTTCAACTCAGTACTGCTGTGTGACTTGAGACAATTTTATGTTCGGTCCAACCATGTATGAATGCCCACTCTCCCACAGTCTGGAGATCATGGGATGGCAGTGTGGTGCTGGGGACCCCCTGGGGCTGCTCAGGACTCCCCAGCTGACTTCCTGCTTCCTTTGCCCCCACTGGTCCAACCCTCTGTTATCCCTACCCTCTGGGGGAGCCTTAGCCCTCTTCCCAGGGGCAGGAGGGAGGGACTGAAATGTCCAGAGAAGGGCTGGGTGACAGGACTCAGTGAAGAGTGCAGGATCCAAGCCCTTCCCTCAGGTTCTGGGTTCAAACTCGCACACTCCACCCATGCCTGGGCCTTCTTTCAAATCTCCACCTTCCAGAGAATTCCCAGGCCGCCCTACCCCTGACTGGGGCTGTTCACAGGCCCCATGGGCTCTCAGCCCAAGGCTTCCCTCTTCTGGACACAGGAGAGATGGAGACAGTGACAAGGCCTCAGAAGAGCCAGATGGAGATGTGACCAGGTTAATGGAGATACAGTCATGGAAGTGTCCAAAGGGAAATGAGACAGGAAGCCCGCCACACCGCTTCCTGATGTCGCTAGGGCTGACCGTATGCACCCCCTCCCCACCAGATTTCAGCCTGACATGAAGGCTCCTGCGAGACCCAGCTGCCACCCACCTTCTGCTCCAGGCACCCTGACCTCACAAGGTCCCCACACAGCGGTGCCCTTCGCACCCTCAGGCCTTTGCATGTTCTTCTGCCTCCACAAGGATGGGTCTTCCAGGTGCTTCCTCTGACCAGCTCTCCCGGTGCCTTAAGAGTCAGCAAAGTCCTTTCCCTGAGCCCTCTGTCCACTTCCCCACGGCATCCGGTCTTTCCCAGGAGTCATGCCCTGCGATCCCGTGTGTCCCTGCCATGAAAATCCTTATCACCTGCATTCTCTCTCTTTGCAAATGTCTGGGCTTCACTGAGCAGAGATTGAGGCTCTGGTTTTTCAACTCTAAGGACACACGCTGTGGACTCATTAATCTGATTGAAAACCTCACTCCAACACCCCCCATCTGTGTGACACTGGCCACATCACTCCCCTTCTCTGATCTTCCATTTTTTCATCTGGGGGGGAGGGGTGTGTGTGTGACAAATCCTACCTGATGTGTTCTGAAGACACCAAAGACTGTCTTTGCTCCATGGTACTGAGCATCGGTTTCCTTGCCTTTTTTATGGGAGTCTCTAATGTCCACCAGCTTTACACACATTGAGGCACTAGGATTATCGATCAGAAGCTGCCAATGGCCTTAATATTCATCGGCACGTCTCACATGCCAGGTCCAGTTTGTAGACAATCTCAGTGAACACTCCCCCCCC